ATTAAAAAAAAAATCTTTCTTCTTCCTTACGCGACAGAGAGCTGAAACCAGAGGAAAAAGAAAAGAAAAGAGAAAGGGAGCGAGTGCGAGAGAGAGCGAGAGATCGAGAGAGCTATCGGAGCAAAAAAACCACCGCCACACCGCCGTCGATTCCTCCTTCCCGTTCATTAGGTAAATTTGTTCTATTATGCTTTCATTTTTTTCAATTTTTTCGGATTTTCAATTTTTTTGAATTTTTTCTTAATTAGATTAGTATTTCGATTTTTTTTGAAATTTCTTCGATTATGTTTCTATGTTGAATTGAGATTGGGATTTGAATTAGGATTGTTGGAATTAGGGCTTTGATTTACGATTTTTCGAATGAGGGCTTCGAAATAGGTTTATTCGAATTAGGATTGGGTGATTTGAATTAGGATTGTTCGATTGGAATTATAATTGTTCTAATTAAGGTTTCGAATTAGGATTTTTTGAGTTAGGGTTTGTTAGAATTAGGGCTTGTTCGAATTAGGGCTTCGAATTAGGGTTTTTTGAATTAGGGTTGTTCGATTTGAATTAGGATCAGGTGACTTGAATTAGGATTGTTCGGTTGGGCTCGTGAAATCATCTTCGATTCGTTTCTTGTGTTCTTGTACTACTAATAGAGTAGGTAATCTGTTGAATGTGTATAATGTTGCTAGCTCCCCCTGTGTAAAGTAGTAATTTCGTATGATTCAACTCATGCCTTCTTCTTTTTCGACTTGAGCATCACATATCCAATAAACATTGATGTTAATTAAAGGAGTGTTCGAATTATGTGTCTATGTGAAATTAATTAGTTTTTCATTGAAGTTATATGATTTCTTATATTTTTTTTTTCGAATATGCTTTCTTATATATGTAATGATTCTTTTTTTTTGTTTTGTCGAATATGGCATCTTCGTCATCCTCACAGGGTCGCCGGTACCATGTACAACCCGGTCCCATTGACTCGTCGCTTCTATATCTTACGGACAACCATCGGGCTATGGCGGTCGTAACGAGAGTATTAGAAACCGCCAGAGCGACACTGAGTTCTGGTTAATCGCCTTGGAAAATCAACATGTTAAAGTTTGGGAGTAGATTGATAGGGTAGGTTTTGGGCCCTTGTTCCGAATGGGCCGGGTAACGGCGGACAAAAGCCTACTCACATGCCTGGTGGAAAGGTGGCGACCCGAAACACACACCTTCCACTTCGATTGCGGGGAGAACGCTGCAGGACGTTCAAGTCCTATTTGGCCTCCCGGTCAATGGAGAAGCTTGTTGGGGAACGACTGAGGATATTACTCTCCAACAACGGCAAAACATGTGTGAGTACTATCTAGGGTTTCGGCCCGATGTCTAGGTATCTACTTTTGTCAACAATTTTTTTTTTTATATATATCATTTCGTTTTTAATACTTCCATTATTGTGTTTTTAAATTTTGGCTTGTTTTTAATTTTTAGTTTTTGGTTTAAAATCAATGCAGGATCGAGATGACCCAACTTACGACCCAAAGATGTGGCCCATTAAGGCCAATGGCTTAATGTTGGCCCGTTAGAGAATGAATGCAAAAGACCGCTCTCAAATGTGGAAGAGACCGAGGTCCACGAAAACAGGGCGAGGGCCCTTATACTCTGGTGCTGCGGCTGCTTCTTCTTCCCCGACCGGCGGGCCAACGGAGTCAGCCTGTACTGCTTGCCCAAGCTGTTGGATATGGATTCAATTAAGGGGTACAGCTGGGGTTCTGCGGTCCTCGCCTTTTTGTATAGAGGGTTGTGCACAACCTACATGGCTGGGGAAGGGTGGCTCAAGGGTTGTGTGCAATTGTTTCAGGTACATTTATTTGTTTAAATAAAAAAATCATATTTATTTAGTAATTAGTTCAAAATTTAATTTTTCTTCTCTAATATCTAATTAAAAAAAATACAAATGTCGATATGTGTAGGTTTGGGCATGGGAACCTATCTCTCGCGTTCGCCCAACAATCCAGGAGAGGCGCTTTGATTCCCTACGTGGTTGTCCTTTAGGAGCAATGTATGAATAATATTTATTTATATTTAATACTTAACTTATTTCTATTATTAAATTTTCCGATTACAATATTTTTTTTTTCTGTGATATTTTAAGGTGGGTAGGAAAAAATGACATGAAACACCTAGCCAAGGGAACGGCCATTGTCCGGGATCAAGTGACTGGGCTGAGAGAGGGGGATGTAAGATTCTTACGTGCTGCAAATTCATCCCATCTTTTTATTATTGTTTTTAGAATTTTTATAACTTAATTCTTAATTCAATTTTTTTTTTCGTTTCAGTTCGATTGGATGCCATATACAGAGTTCATTGTTTGTCCCATTTTTTCACGTTTTTCGTGATTATTTTTCCTTTCTTTTTCCCCCATTCTATGTTTTTTTTTTCTTTCGGTTTTGGTCCGTTTTATTTCGTGTCGGGTGTTTTCATTTATTTAGAGTCTTTATGTGTTTTCGGTTATTTTCTTCGTTTTCTTTGTTTTTGTTTTCTTCTAGTGTTGTGCAGGTCAGGTGCCTCATTCGACTACAATCTGGAGGAGAGAAAATATTTGGCGAGCTTGATTCATAGAGGGATTCGTCGACGAGTACAAACGAGTCCCAATTATTAGACCGTGCAAATCGATAGCTTGCCCCAGACTCGTGCCATGTTGGTACCACGACACGTCCTCCACATTCACGGCCACAGTTTTCCACCGCGGCGAGACAGCAGGACTCCTCCACGGTGCGACAACACTTTTTTTCACTCTGCTGCATGATCTTCACGGTGTTGTACCAATTACTACGTGTTGCTCTACCTTCTTCTCCACGGCGAACCACCTCCAGCCATGAGACAACCACAGCCTGTGACGACCCTTTCATGCTGCTGCTCTTCTTCCACACCGCAATCCTCCACGCCGTGCCAGAAGAACCGCCACGCCGCTGCAATCACTCCACGCCGCGAGACGGACCAGCTCCACGCCACGGCAGAACCACCGCACCGCGGCACCGCTGCTCATCATGCCAGAACTGTTTCTGTCGCACCGCGAAGCTCCTCCACGCTGCGGCGCCCGCCTGCTGCCTTTTCTTTTCTGACGCCCAGATTTTTCTCCTTCCGCGGCCGCGATCTCCCTCCTTCACCGTGGCTGCGGCGACAAGAACCTCCCAGCAAGCCTGGACTTTGGACGAGAAAACCCGCGGCCTCGGGACGATTCTCGGCCGCAGAGCCAATCTTTGCCGCGGCCGCGAGTTCCGTGAAGCAGATGTTTTAAAATCTGTTTTGAGAACTCGTGAAGAGGTGATTAATTTGGGGGCAGTCTAGGTTTTTTTTTTGTTCCTTTCCCTTAGAAAAATGATTTGTTCATCTTTACTTTTAATAATTCGAAACGTAGATCACGGATTGGATTTCGGATTTTGCTATTTCTTTTCGGATTAATCGTGTTTATCGGATTCCATTCAACTTTGGATTTATCAAACGTAAGATCTTTCTTTTCCATTAATTGATGAATATGTATTCGTTGATTATTATGATTTTGATTGTTAATTCGCTTATGAAGAGCTAAATCAATACGCTAGGGAATAGAGGATTGATGTTTTGATTCGTTTGTGATTGTCGGGCTTGAGATTGATCAATTTGTGCGAGTTGTTATTTAACTAGGGTTTTTCGATTATTGTTCTCGAATTTTGCGAATTGTTGAAGGGTGACACTTCAACGTCCAATTACTTTAATTGAATTCGTTTAATGCGTGCAAGATTTTAAAAACTCTAAACAGGCTAGCTGATTAGTCATCTTCTAGTCTTCTTTAATCGACTTTTTTAACTGAAAG